AATTGGATTAAAATACCGATTATCACTATATTTTTTCTAGGAGAATAGATGATTCTTGAGAGAATGTATATGTTCACTTTTAGTCGATCATCGAAAATTCTGCTGAATTAGAAGAACAGTTTGCAAAATATGAAAATAATGCTGAGAAAAATTTGCTGATGATCCTAATCAACGGCCGTACCAATCAACAACGTTTACATATTCCGTACGTTCGACAATTAATTGACAAAGTTGATTATCGATGTAATTCAGAAAAACAAGATAATTTCAAATATTTTCTTCTACTCGTACATTCACCAGCACAAACAATTTATCATCAATCATCATTTCCATCGATATTTCTACATCATTGGGATTTTCATTTCTTCGATACATGTTTGTCAAACAATTCATTTTATATAAAGAATTTCATACAGATTCTCACTTCATCTTACGATAACAGAGTACATCAAAACGATAATCAGATACTTTGTGATTACAATGTTTTGTTTGACGATTGTCTCTGGGATTTTTGTTCTCGAATTCAAATTGTTCTTCAACAATTACCAAGAGATTTATTCGGAAATCAATGTACTTATGAATTTTATCAACGTCAAACGAGTACATTTCGACGTGTTCAATGTTTGAAAGAAGTTCTTAGACAATGTACCGAATTACAAAAACGAATTGTTGACAAATATCAGACTTATCTATCGTTAAAAAAGAATGCATCAAAACAAATCTACACATTAATCTATCAACTTTCTAAAGATATTCTTTGTGGAAAACGTTTTGACGGTCTTGTTGATTCGATTCAATCTCAAACTCGACTTTCGTTCAACAACTTTATATGCAATATTCTCAAACACATCGTTAATGATTATGGATTAGAAACTTTACCGAAACTTTCAAACATCAATGATGGATATGATACTATGTTGAATCTAATCGATCATTCATCAATATCAAATGAACAAGAAAACGATTTACTTTCAACTAACACTCAAACTGTTGTTCAATTGGTGACACATTACGCATGTATTCCTCAAACACCACTCTATCATCTTTTTCATCAACGAATCAAATCCTATTCGGATGAAATTAAAATGAGACTCATTCAAAAAACAGCCGAGCAAAAACGTAATTTAGCCACTGAAAATGATCTCAAAGAACATTACTATGCAGTACCTGATGATGATGAAATGAATAATGCGAATGAAAATGAAAATACTATCGAAGAATTTCGATTTGAATTGATCAAAGCGATTGAAAAAGATTCAATTTTAATGAAAGTTGTCAACAAATCCGTTCTGGAAACATATTCAAACGATTTAGTTCAAACATTTTGTACGATTGTTGAGAAAAATTTCACTGATGATCGTGTCAAATGTCAAAAATCAATTGAATTCATTGCTCGATGGTTACGTTTAGTCGATGAAAATGAACAACGAGTATTAGATGAATATCGTCATGAAGATATTTGGCGATTGGCTCATGTTTACACATCATTCGAATACGATCGAAATGATTTATTTTCTTTGTATTCAGCATGCCGAATAATGGATCGTCTTGATCAAACTCAAACATTTTATCATCAATTATTTGACAATGATAATCCAACAAGAAGTCTCGTTCGTGAACGTTTATTTCGACGAATGTTTGATGATCTATGGAAAAATCTTTCTGATGTACATTTCAATGATCAAACTAAAGAAACGTGGATTTTGTGTTATACAATGATATCGAAATATTATCCATCTAGTAAAGTTCTTGAGCAAACACAATTGATCGATATTAAATTTCGTATTGAATTTATGAATTTGGCTCATTTTATTCTTCTCAATGAAAATTTAACAAAACCTGAAGAACTTGTGATCAAATTACTTCAACAATTTGAATTTCTTCAACAGAATGAGCCAAACTATCATGGCGGCCAACAAAAATCACCCTATATTGAAAGATATTCATCGATTATTGAAACCATCAACGATTATATCGAAGAAAACAATCTTCCAAAATCAACGTTAATGATCGATGTTCAACAATGGATAATTTCAATTTTAAAAGCTACTAATGATTCCTATCGTGACGAAATCTTTTCAGTGTTTAAATATTTGAATCAACCAACTTGTCCGTTGAGATTGCCGATAAAAGAATTTCTTTTTGACGAATTGGTGAATATTTATCTCAAATACATGCAACAAAATCAAATGATTAAAAATGCATGGGATCGTATTCTTCTTCTTCCAACAATGATTCAATGTGTGTCCGATGGCAATTCACTTGAAAATTATCGTCTACCATATCATCCATCAGTGGTCACTCAGGAAAACGCTCGATCGACATTGCTCGATCTGTTCTTTTCTCATTTAAAACGTTCGATGAGCAATGAAGTAGTTCATTGCACATTGGTCAATAAAATCCTGCAATCCGCGGTTCCACCTGCTGATATTCGTCAACGTCAACCATTAGTCGATGCTATTTTTCGACAAATCAAAGATTATTTTCTCATTCAATTGACAGCTCTTCTTCTTTGTCAAGCCGATCGCTCAGTTGAAGATCAAGCTGATGTCAATCGTATACTTTTATATATGATCAATAATTATCTATCAATTCAAAACAATGCAACAAAACTGAGCGAACCTCTTCAAAATTTTCTTGCGACAATCGTTTCCAAATTTTCATGGAATCATCTTTTGAAAATGCTTAAGTCACATGATGTTCAACAACAGAATCAACAATGGTCTACGACTTTATCTCGATTTTTTGAGAATAAACAAGCAACGGCAGCAAGACAATCTTCAATACAGATGAGTCATCAACTAGAATTCACACTAACGTCCAATAATGAGCAATCAATCTTTCCTCATCTTCAACAATCTTACGAAGAATTGAAAAGGATTGTTGATCAATGTGTCAATCAAAACAATGATGAACAATGTTGGAAACCATTTACAGATTGGATTGCTTTGAATCGTCAAGGAAATCCACCGAAACTTCAACTCATCGAAATCAAAGTGATCGTCTTATTAAATATTTACTACGAATATCTTTGTCAAGATCGATTAGAATCGATTGATTCATTGTTGTCGATTATTGAAAGAGATTTAGATCTTTTAGTAGAGGAAAGACTCGTTTTTCGAGCTCTTAGTCAACCTGAACGATTCATGATTGGTTATCCAAGAAATCCGCAGGATGAACGAAATACATTGAACGATTTCTTTACTCCTCAATGTCAAAATGAAGACGAACTTCGAATCCGTCATTGTTTAGTCAATCTGATGGCGATGATTCTTCTCGGTGGGAAACAAAGTTTTCTCTGGTCGTTTGCGTTTCAACCGCTAAGTTTACTACACACTCACGGTTAGTAATCAAACGCATTTTAATCATCTGTCATAAAATGATCATTGATATTCTTCTAGGCTTCGGTACCACGGCTCAACAACCAATTGAAGAACATGGAGTGCATTATGATTGTGGTTGCGTCATCGATGAAAAAGGCGAGTTGCTACAATTTTCAGGAAAACCGGGTCCATTGAATATACCAGGAATCTATGTGGCATATTTTTCAACTTTTGGTGCCATGGTAAACTAATTGATTCGTACTGATTTGAGTCTATTATCCTCTTTTTAAGGCCTGGCATTTGTTATTATATCAAGATTCAGAGAAAAATTTGCATGGGCCTGTCTTAGCAAAACATGCCATTGCTGACATATCGAAAGAGTGCCGAGTAGAAGGCAACCAGGAGCGAACAAAAGTGTGTCATTTTGTTTGTGCTCGTCTTTTAGCTACTTATCATTTTCTTTGCATACGTTTCAACCAAGATGATACATGTATACTGATTAATCGCTGTTTGGAGAAAATGGCATATTTAACTCTTCGTCAACAGCAATGGATTAAACCTGTTTACACAACATATAACGACCAATTGAATGCTGAAGACCAATATCAACAACACGTCTTCTATTTTATTCTTCAAAAATTACCCGAGTACAAAGCTCAAATCAATCAATTAAGTTTACAATCAGAGATTCAAGCAAATTTACAAGTCTATATCGACCAAATGCCAATTTCTATTAATTATGAACATTTCAAAACTGAACTTCATAATCCAAAGAGTTCTTCGTTATCATTGAATATTTTACGGCGTATTCTAAGTTCTACTAGTTTTCTCGAAATGACTCGATCAATTTATGATTTGAGTCAATTTTATGTTCTTTTACATCAAACTTACAGTTCATTGATTGAACGAGATGAATTCATTGAAATATCATTGGAAGATTTATCGAAGCGTGCTGAACAAAATTCGAATATTGTTGATCAACGTCTCCGTGCACAACATCATTTGATCATTAAAAATGGATTAAAAGCTGTCAATTTATATCATAAGTTTACTGATGGATTGATTCAACCAGGAGCTTGTGATGAAACTCAACGTTTTAATGAAGTTTCTATTGAAACACCAATTCATTATTTAGTAACGACTGAAAATCATGATGAAGACGATATCGTTATGAGAATCCTAAGGTAAATAATAGGCAGAAGTCGTAAAAGATCTCTTTATCTTTCTCTTTTCGTTTCATTTCAGTGTACTTGCTGATTATCACAATGGTTTATTGGAACTGTTAGAAAAAGAATTGACAAATGAACTTAATAATAATATGACTGTTCTCAAAAGTTTAGTTTATGATATAGTTTCAAAAGATGTTTCAATTTTACAAATTGCTCGTGATAATACTGGTGTAATTACACTTACAGCAGATGATGTTTTATGGTTGTCGAAATTATCTCGTGCTAGTTTAATTACTGATACAGAGAATGTTTTTGAAATCAAAGAAAATCTTTTGAAATTTGATTTTCGTTACATCCAATCTTATGTTGTTCGAACGCATTTATTATTATGTCGAATTAATTTTCGTCATATTGTTCAAAAATATCAATGTTATAAACGAAAGAATCAAACGAACAATGAATCTGAAATGATTGAGCTCGGTGAAAATTATTCGAAACACATCGATCGTGACAAATTAGAAACTGAATGGAGTCACCTAAAAGATATGTTAGTAGATAAACTTACCAATGGTTATAAACTTCTTCGACAAATTATGTTGTTAATTAAATCAAATGAGAATGATCTTTCATATTTAAGTCTCAATGAATTTTTAAATATTCACGCCAACGATCAAACTATTCGAGAACAATGTGAACTCTATGAAATACGAAATTTTCAATTATGTTATTTGAATCATATTCAAGAATTGTATTCTAATGCCATTAATGATTTTCAATATTTATTTACTGATGTTCCTCATCTATTACGAACTCCAATCAATGATCAATTAAATGAAGAATTAAAACAAGCGATCAAAGTCAACTTAATTGACATAGAATATAATGATCATGTTGAGGAGTTGAAATCAACAATTCATACGATAAGTGAATTTCTTAATGACTTACGTGCGATTGAAGTTTCTCTATTTGAGCAATCGACACAATCATTACCAAAAACATGTGAATATGTGGCGATAGACAATACAATTTTATCCTGGATTCCCTCTGAAATTCGTTGTGAAAATTATGTTTCATTAAGTATTCATTTGATTCGATGTCGATCGATTCTTCAAGAAAAATTGGTTAATATTCAAGAAAAACAAAATATTCTATGGGCAGAAGAAATTGATGAAAATCAAAATCCAACTGAATCGAAGAATACATTTCTTAATTATTTGAACAGCAAAGAAGATAATTCACAAGATGAATTCGCCAATAATCTAATTGGAGAAGATGGATTCAATTTTCCACCAACAACTATAGGTGACAATTATAATTGGAATTATGTTGATCATTTGCTTGATCAAGATGATCAAAAACCAATGACAACAACAATTGATAATCAACAAATGAAACAAGATGAGATCATCAACGATGAAAAAACTGATTGTCCAACTTTGTATACAATGCAACTTAAATCTCTTCCATTCGAATCATCACCTTGGTTTGATCTATTAAATCAATTGAAAACTCAGAACAGTGAAGAAGAGAAAAAAGCCAAATCCGTCAGTATCATTCATCCAGATGAAAAAAAGAGTTCTCATCTGTTGAGAAAAGAAAAACTCTTTGAACAGCTGCAAAAAATATTCAAAGATAAAGGTTATTCATCTGAAACATTGATACCAGTCGATAAATATCAGATTGGTCTCGACCTGCAGGGTGATAATCCATCACTTCCACGTGATTTTCCATTGGAATATTCGATTCTTCAAAGAACATCTTTGATACAAGTTAAAGTTGAATATGAAGAAAAATCGGTTGATTATTTCACCAAATCGGAATGTCCAGTGATCAATGTTTTCAGTCGAACGTTGAATGATCCCAAACTCGGTTTAAAACTAAATGCAGAGAATGTTATATGTTTCTTCGATGAAAATAGACGATTGATTCATGACGGAATCATTGGAGATCTTTTTTCAGTTAATGATCAAGAGAAGAGAAAAGTTCGTCTAATTCTCACTGAAGAAAATCGATCGATTTTGTTCAACGAAATTCTCTATCGAACTGCTCACGGTAAATAAAGATTCTCTGCGACAAATTTTCGAATCAAATCTTTCTCGTTTTAGACGAAGAGAAAAGAATTTTACTCTATCCAAATACAGTATGGCAGAATTTGGATAATTGGTTTCGAGAACAACCTGTAGCGAAAAATCTTGGCAAAGAATATTTCAGTTATTTTCTCAAGGAAAAGAACAGCATTGTCGGTGAAACAGATGAAATTTCCTCAACAGTCGAACCGATTACGATCGATGTGATTAGTCGAGATTCAATAATGCATGTAAAAATTTCTTATGAAAATCAATCCGAAAAAATCTGTGTGTTAAAAGCAATGAAAATCAATCAACTGTTGAACAACGAAAATCTTTTACTAAAATTGAATTTAAATGTTCATTCTCTTCGTGATTGTGTTTTAGTTCTAGGAGAAAATCCTGATCAAAGACTTTCAAATGAAGATACACAAAAGCCGATCGGTGAATTTACTGTTGATGATCAACAAGTCGTGGAATTTCGCATTGCTCTTCTCATTCAAATTTCAACTTCAAACAACAGTGAAAAACCTGAAGAAGTTCTTCTATTTAACAGAAAAGTGACGATCGAAGAATTATTTCAAATTTCTAAAGGATCTGAACGTGGTTACAAATATCTAGCGTCGTATAATACGAAGAAAATCATTGATTTTCATCAACTATTGTCTGATGTGAATGAAACAAGATTTCTGTTGGTGAAAGAAGATCAATTTTGTTCGATTCATATTCGAAGATCAACTGAAAATCAATTGATTTCGATCGATGACAATGAAACGAACAGCAAACAAGATTTTGCATCATCTGCCACCATCGCTGATGTTTACAAAGCGAATCGTATAAACGATCAAAATGAATATCTTCTATTTGAAAAGGATTTTCTTCCTTCGCTGGAAACTTCGTTATCAGTCTTCGCATCGATATCACCGATTGAATTCGATGTGATCAATGAAAAACTACCAATTCATATTATTGTTGAGAGCAGTATCGACAAGCAAACAATCAATTATCACAGTTCATCTCAAACGCAGTTCAAACGTTTGTGCTCGATCGCGTGTCAACTGATGCATTTGAATCCAAAATTTTATCAACTGACGTATAATGAAGCGGAATTATCAGACGATGAAATGTGTTTGGACGATATTGAAAATGTTCCGGATGAAGTTAAATTAGAATTGATTTGCAGCTCTTCTTTAAAAGCTTCGATTAAATTTGAACAAGTGGAAGTTTTGATTCCATGCACTGAGGAAACTGTGGCATTAGAGTTGATTGAAGAAGCTTTGTTAAAATTGAACTTTTCAAAAAGCGATTTGTCTCAATTTGAATTATTTGCTCTTGATGATCAAGAAACACAAGTCGAAATGGATTATAAGATTGAAGATGTTCGTGGAATCTTTCCTGAAAATACTGAAACGATAAAACTCGAACTTAGAAGGAAGAGTTAAACTTGATCATTGATTTCAGTAGTTTTTCTATTTTTTGAAATTGTGTTTTTCGAATTCAAATAAAATTCATGAATACTTTGGCTTAGTGAAAAGTCTAATTCACTCAATGATCGCTGATTTTCCATTCTGTTGACTTTTGTTTTTGCTTTATTTTTCAGTTTGATTTGTACCAAAATTTCTCAACAAAAGCAATTCATTGATATGTTACAGTACATGATTTACTGTTAAAGGGTGTGGGTGTGTTTAACAATTTATAGAAAGAAACCAAACCATGATACGATGCATTTCGAACGGGACTTAAATCCGTTCATCATCGGGTATGTTCAGTTCTATCACTACATCTCGATCAAATTCTGTTTCTTAATGGATGGTGTTTTTGTTTTGCTTGTATTTTTTGTTTCGTGTAGATACGTTTCTTGATTTAAACTGTTTGGTAAGTTTCATTTCTGGTGCCATTGGTGTCGAAGGCTAGCGGTTCTCCTCTATCGTTGTCTCTGTTACAGTGAAGGGTGGTGATCTTCATGATTTTTGTTTGAAAGTTGTTTTTCAAGCAGCGTGCGAAGGTTGTGTCATGTAGGTGTGGGTGGGGTGTGGGTGAGGGTGTTTGTTTTATTTTTACCCACAATCAACCCCACCCCTCCCACACCCACAACCTAATCGAACTGCTTTCTAATGATTGCACTGACTTCAGAATGCACAAACGAATACTTTACCATCAGTATGCCACAAGAATTTTTGGATTCTCTAATACCTTAGTGTATCTTTCGTTCGATTATTCTGCTGAAAACTATCAGAGTACATGGGTATAGTTGGAACTCAGTGCATACACTAGAAGATGCAGCTAATATCTGATCAAGAATTTTGAATAACTCATCAAAATGGCTTTGTTGGTTTTTTTTATCTATGTTTCTTGATTTTATATTAAAATACGTGTGGGCAATTGTTTCAATTAGTATGTCACATACAAGCTTTTCTTCTCTTCTGATATATGACATGGAAATGAATGACAAAAAAGTCTATAAGCAACAAGTTGTTTTATGAAACAAGTAGAAATGAATAAGAAGATCAGATATTAAAGAATCAAAAGGGAAAGTAAGAATGATAGCAACATATTCTGTATGTTATTTACCGAGAATTTTGCTCGATTGTTCATTATTCTAAAACATTTTCACATGCTCAAGATTGTGAACAATATGTAAAACAAAAAAAAAAAAAACTATGATCGAATTCTTTTAATTGCAAGTGGACGATTAGGTCTAGAAGTAGGAACACGTATTGATCAATTTCGACAAGTATTTTCTATGTATAACTATTATCGGCAGGAGAAAAGAAAATGAGAAACGTTCATTTTTTCGTTCGTTGTGATTATTTTTAGTTGCATCAACGCTGGATAAATGTAAATGTTCTTATTTAATTCAAGTAAGACAAATAAGGGTAGCCTACGTCATCTGTTATATGCTTTTAAACTTACCACTAGGATATATTATGAACATGCCATATTAATGTGTTTTTCTTTTGGATTTAAATGAAAAAAATTCATGTCGAAACTTATTTACTGGAACACAGTTGTCAATTTGAAAAATCGCTGATTAATCGTCAAAACTGAATTAGTTTCGATGACATAGTTAATTTCATCCGGTTCAAGATCTAACCAAAGAGAAAAATGAGATTTAATATCCTGAAGCAATTCTGTCATAAGATCGTGAACATCCATGTGAAGATATTGCTCTGTCAACTAAAAAAAAGCAGAGCTACTAGTCGAAACTGACGGTGAAAATATAAAAAAAGAAATAACGAGAAAACAAACTAAACTATTATCGGCGCCAGAAGTCAGTGCACTCGGATGTTTTTTGAATAACTTTCGATAGGAACAAGATAGAGGGCTGCGGTTTTCACTATTCAAAAGAGAACATCCGGGGCCATAAAAGCATGTGAAATTTGATTGGTCCAACAATTGACCAATCAGATGAATTCTGGGTAGACTTTTTGAAAACGAAATGGTTAAGGCATTTCGCATTCGATTTTTACTTTTTATATGACTATTCGATAGAAAAAATTGTTCTCTTTCGATCTACGCAAGGCTGAGGTTTCTAGCTTGTTCCTCTCTAGAGTTATAAGGGTTTTCCTGAGACCCCCGATTTCGGCCAGCTGACCTTCGGTTACGTCGGAAGAGGTCAATATAGGGGTAATTCATCACGCTGAATTGAGTGGTGATGTTTGTTTTCAGTTCCCAACTCATC